AAGTAAGGACAAATGAAGGTCAGCCATATCAGCGTTGGCAAAAGTAAAAGCATCCACCAAAGGGCAGTTTCCATCTTTACACAGCCAACTAATGAGTCCCCATTTAGCTGTTGATTGCATTGTACTTCCTTTGTGACTTCGATGTACCTGTTCCTACTGATAGAACTAGATACTTGCCATAATCCAGGACATTTGCTGGCAATAGTTTTGCATTGGCTCCAGTTGGCCTCATCGCTAGCAGTGCCTGTTTAACCAATATTCAGACAGAGTTTAAGTTACATGCACAGACAAGACAATGTAAATCTCCCGTCCGAAGAAATTAAAATGTATTACTAGTAACTATTATTTTCGATGACATGCCCAAAATATAATTGTATGTTTTTTGCACTTACAGGGTTATTGGTTGCAATGCCTCCGTCTATAAGGTTAAATTCTCTATCATTTCCTTGACAATCTTTTGTTTTGAAGAAGTAAGCAGGAAAATAAACCGGAGCTGACGAAGTACTGATGCAGATATCTGATAGTAAAACATCCATTCCAGGATCCAACTCTGCCTGAAATGATTTTACAAACCATATTTCATTACACAAATTAAATAGAGACAAAAAAAAGATCAAGAGGAGTACGTAGTATTGAACTGTAATGAATTAAATACAACCTCATATGTAGAGAAAACTTGGGGCTGAAGTGTCTTGATGTCATAAGTGGGAATAAGCAAATGGGTTATAGTTTCTTGGAATCTTCGGTTTCCACAGAGCCCTCGGATCAGATTCCTTAGATACTTGCCGTCATATTTTGGACCACACAGCATCCTTAGTAGCGATAGTATTTCACTGTAAAATATACAATTCGTAACGTTATGATACATTTATATATTCCCTCTGTTTCAATTTAAATGACACACATTCCTTATTAGTTTGTTCCAAAAAGAATGATACATTTTTATAATTAGAAATAATTCAACTTTAAACTTTTCAATTTATCCTTATTGAGAAGCTTTTATAACAACACAAATGTCATGACCCTACAAAACTTTTAAGACCACAAGTTTCAAAAGTCTTCCTCCTTTCTCTTAAACTCCGTGTGCCGAGTCAAACTAACTCATCTAAATTGGAAGAGAGGGAGCAGTACATAATTAAAAGTTGAAGAGAACATAACCGTCTAATGAGGTAAAAAAATTGTACTTGCGCTGGGGGAAGATGTTGGGGCTGTGTTCAAGATAAAATGGAACTATATCCTTTGCAGCATAAAGAGGACGGCCATGTTGGTCTGGTGCTGTTAACATGGTCGCCATTAGGCCTCCAGTACTAGTCCCTGCAATCGTATCAAAGTAATCTGCAAGTCGAGCTTCTGGT